TGCTTGTGATTATTTGAACGGTACGTTTGTTCCGATTTGGTATAACTTGCAGTGAAAAAATGCCCGACTTGTTCGGGTTTTTTTTCGGGGTGTTGGGGGTATCCCCTAACCGAGCAACTTTGAAAAAGTGTAGTGAGTACACAATCTGCAAAAGCGCTTTGAGTTGGAATGAAATGAACAACTCCTAAGTGCGCCCTTCTCATTCTTCGATGGGAATTTTACAGGCACAAAATACGGTAATGCGGTTTTGCAGTTCCCTGAATATGATCAGGGTGCAGTTCCCTGAATATGATCAGGGCGCGCTTAGTTGTTTCTCTCTACGAGTAGAAACCTAAGCACGAAAATCAAAAGCTTTTCCTTTTGGTGTTATCCCATAAGGGCGCACTTACGGGTTGTCTTCGACAACCCAGCACGAAAGGGGAAAACCCCTTTACCCCTTGCCACCCTTTCAGGGATGGAAAAAATACACCAAAAAAGAAAATGGTTGATGCCTGACTGACAGTAAATTTTTGCAGTCAAGGGCGAGCGTAGCGAGGGCAAAGCCGAACCCTTTACGGCACAAATTTACGAAATCACGCTCTGTGGTGGGGTGCGTGTACGAAGTGCATGCACCCCTGCCACGTGGCGAACGTCCCCGAAGGGACAAGCCCCCTTGAGGGGGTGCGGTAGTGGGTGACAGGGTAATATGCCCATAGAAACGCACAGGAAGCCCGCAGGGAGCTTTTAAGGGGTCAAGGTAGGTGAATGTACCTGTTGGAGATTAGAAGCGCTGTAATCGCTGTTTTGGCTTTTGGGGGAAGCCCTGAAAGGGGTTCTCTACCTTATATTTATACTTAAGGGATAACTCAAATCTGGAAATATAGGGTTTAAGCCTTGTGTACCAAGGGTTTGAGCGTGTTTTTGGGGATGGTTGATTAAATTAAAAAAACCCCGTAGAATTTTTGTTGTCGAGACAAAAACACAAACGAGGTTTTTTATGGAACACACCAGAAGTGCGACCGATGGGCTATTTTATGCCGAAAGCGCAGCTGAAATCAAGACCGAAGACGAAGCACTCACGACATATAGCGAAAAAGATAAGCCGTGGGATACGAACCGAGCTTATGCTCAAGACGTCCAAGGCATATACCTTAGAGAGCAAGAATTTCAAAAGCTTGGCGACCGAATAGACAACTGTAGCGGTATGTTGCGGTTCAATATGGTTGCAAGTAAGCAGACAGGCGAAGTGTCGCTAAAATTGTCTACTGCATATTTTTGTCGTGTTCGGCATTGTCCCGTTTGTCAGTGGCGGAGGTCTCTCATGTGGCAAGCCCGTTTTTATCAAGCCTTACCCGCAATCGTTGAAAAATATCCAACAAGCCGTTGGCTGTTCTTAACTTTGACTGTTCCAAACTGTCCAGTTGATCAGCTTGCTGATACCCTAAAAGAAATGAATACGGCATGGAATAGGCTTAGAGGTCGTAAGGAATTCAAGGTTATTCAGGGCTGGATTCGAGCGACTGAGGTCACTCAAGAAGAACATCGGAAAGGCTATGCACATCCGCATTTTCATGTGCTGCTTATGGTTCCGTCTTCGTATTTCAAGACTTCTAAATACATCACTCATGATCGTTGGCTTGAGCTGTGGCAGGAAGCTATGCGTGACCCATCAATCACTAACGTTAATATTCGCACAGTAAAACCACGGAAGCCTAAAGAGGGTGAAACGGTTGTAGATAGTACCGTTCAGGCATTGGAGGCGAGTGGTGGTGTTTCTGAAACGCTGAAATATAGCGTTAAACCATCGGACATGATTAGTGACCCAGATTGGTTTTTAGAGATGACACGGCAGGTTCATAAAAAGCGCTTTCTGGCGACAGGGGGAGCATTGAAAGACATGCTCAAGGAAACCGAAGAAAGCGAAGAAGATCTTTTGCTGAAAAGCGAAGATGACAGCAGTACGGAAATTTTATCCGATGGATATCTTTATGCGTTCAACTGGCGATCTGATGATCGGATGTATCGAAGATATGAAAAAGGGGATGTGTTCCCTACGGTGGATGAATGAGCGTAAATATACCAAGACGTGGCAAGTACGTAACTCACACATGCAGGCAGTGTGGGAAGTCTAGTTTGATGAAAATTACGTCAGTAAAAAAAAGCGGATTTAATCAGGACGGTAGCCAGGTCTTTGTGTTGAAAGCAGAATGTCATGCTTGTGATTATTTGAACGGTACGTTTGTTCCGATTTGGTATAACTTGCAGTGAAAAAATGCCCGACTTGTTCGGGTTTTTTTT